TCCAATAATTCACATTGGCCTTTCAAATAAATCAATTGTTTTAGCCTGTACAGTAATCTAGTTCAACTTCTATTTTCTTCACCAATAAATCTCAGATTTCATATCCACAATCAGCCATGGGCCAGAATGAAAGATTTAACTAAAGCTTCAGTATGGTAGTTGTTGAGTAAGCACTCTGATACATTTCCACACTATAAACACTTAATGAGACTTGTTCCCAACAGACTATATGAGTATATACTACATCAATTTATTTCATAGTATTATATTTGTATGACCAGAATAGAGGAAAGGTTATTTTAGATATTTTTACCAATATAGCTTCCTGTAAATAATGAAAAGTACAACTATTTAATTTATAAAATCATTAAAAATCATTAAAAATGGTTCAATAAATTCTGTGGTAGTATCTAGTTCAGTGTTTGCAGCTATTGTAACTTGGATATAAAAAATATATAAAACTTGGGCACTTCATATTAGTTTATGCATCCCTTTCTCTGACTAGAATTGATGTCAAAGGTTGTAAGGACAATATTGGCCACAGGAATATATCTTCAGCACTTCTGCTTGCCTTATTAAGAAGTGAGTCAGGCATTCAGAGGACATTTCTTAAGAAAAAGACATCATTCTCATATTTATGCCCATTTTCATCAAAGCTACAGACACACTCTCTCTCCCAGTTTCCAACCCCTGCTATTTCTTGCCTGTAGCAGTCACTTTCAACTAATATGAGAAATACAAGATGCCTCAGAAGGAGGAACAATTTGGAAATCTTCTGTCTTCTTCTATAATCCTAAGAATATAAAATACAATATCTGGGATAAACAAGATCCCTTATGGGAGCATCCCCTGATGCAATTCTTTTTAGACTGTGGAAATGAGTTATACAATTCTATTCATCTACTCTGGAAAATTTCACCTTAACATACCTAAAACCTCCCAAATAACAATTGTCTATACTTTTTTTTTATTAGTTACACATGATAGTATAATGATCTTGACTATTAATACATTTGAATCAACTGGGGTATAATTTCTCATTTTTATGATTGTACAGGTTGCAGAATCACATTGGTCATACAGTCACCTACATATATACAGTAATTATAATGTCTATTTTATTCTTCTGCCCTTCCTATTCCCTCTCCCCTCCCCTCCCATCACATCTCTCTACCCAATCTAATGTAACACACTTCTTTTTTTTTCTCTCCTTACAACATCATACATGTATTCTGTATAATGATGAGGGTCTCCTTCCATCTTCTGTGCAATTCCCCTTTTCCCTCCTTTTCCCTCCCACCTCTCTTCCTTATTTAGTGGTAATCTTCTCATGCTCTTCCTCCCTATCCCATTTTGAGTCACCCCCCCCTTATATCAGAGAAGACATTCGGCATTTATTTTTTAGGGACTGGCTAACTTCACTTAGCATAATCTGCTCTAATGCCATCCATTTCCCTGCAAATGCCATGATCTTGTTATTTTTTAGTGCTGAGTAATATTCCATTGTATATAAATGCCACATTTTTTAAATGATCCATAGACAAAGTCTTACCCACCAAAAAGTTATTTCATCTTTTGGACTTGGTTATATTTATAATTTTTCTGATGGTTCATATAAACTTAAGAACCTTATCATATATTATGCTGAAATTTGATTAAGCATGCTGTGGTTTGGATATGAGTTGTCCCCTCAAATCTCCTGTGATAATGAAGGAATAGTCAGAGACCAAATTATTAGATTATGAGAACTATAACCTAATCAGTCCATCCTAATTTGAGTATTCTAAGTGATTGATAACTACAGGCATGTGGCCATGGCTGGAAGCAGTAGGTCACTGGGGACATGCCCTGAAAGGGTGCATCCTCCCTACATGCCTTTCCTCCAGGTCCTCCACTTCCCAGATACCATGAATGCAGTAGCATTCCTCTGCCAGAAACTTCCATCACCATGTTCTGCCTCATATTGGTCCCACAGCCATAGAGTTCCCTGCCTATCAACTAAACCTCTAAAATTGTGAGTCTCCCAAAACTTTTCCTTCTCTAAGTTGTAGGTATTTTAGTTACAGCAAGGAAAAGCTGACTAGCATAAGTACATCAAGTCTATGAGAAGGCAATATAGGATAGAATTAGAAATTCCTCTGAAAATAGACTAGACTCACATACTACTATTCACTAGCTTTCTAACTAGAACAAGTTACATGAGTTATGTCTCCGTATTATTTTCTATAAAATGAATATTTACCTTATAGGGACACTATAATATTTAGGTGAATAATTCATGTCAAATTTTTAACAATCAAAAAATATTATACATTTAATTTATTGAGGGTCCAATACTCTGTTAGTATCTAGGTGATATCCACTAGTATCTCTGGCATAAAAAAATGGAGTACTCACTCTTACTGAAGGAAAAGACACTGGGGACTATCATGCTAAGTGAAATAACCCAATCCCACAAAACAAGGCCAAATGTTCTCTCTGATATGGTGGATAGTAACACACAATAAGGAGAGTGGGGGGAAGAATAGAATTCCATTGGATTAGATAAAGGGGAAATGAAAAGAAGGAAGGGAGATGCTAATAGGAAGACATTAGAATAAATTAGACATAACTTTTCTATGTTCATGTATGAATACACAACCAATGTAACTCCACATCATGTTCAAGCACAAGATTGGGATCCTAATTAGAATAAGTTATACTCTATGTATGTAAAATATGTCAGAATATATTATATTGTCATGTATATCTAAAAAGAAAAAATAAACAATATGAAAATTTTTTAAAAAAGAAAGCTATTCATCTAATGAACAAGATTATTGAGTGCTCATTACATGGGACAAATAATTATGATGAAGAGTCACAATTAATCTTCTATCTTATTAGACAAATAGTTCTTAAAATTTTCACATGGGTGATAATAACTAGAAATTTAATAAATTTTCACAAGGATGCCAGTAATCAGGAATTTAATAATGATTTTTAGACACGAAGACACCTGTGTGAAGATGTAATTAAAGAAAAAGCAAGCTAAATTTAAATTTATTAGTTTTCTAATGAGTTTATCATTAAAGTAATAATGTTAGGAATAATATATGCATTATACATGTTGTGTTTAGTTTACTTTTTAAATTCTAGGTAAATTTTTTTGTAATTTTAATTATATTAATTTCTTCATTATAAAAGAATCCACCTCAAGTCATCTCTAAGAATGATTAAAAAAAACTAAGATTTGTTGAGCATTTATTATGTGTCAGGCATTGCTCTGAACATTTGTACCTTTGTTATTAATTCAGTGTTTCTGAAAAAAAATTATGATGTAGGCCTTGTTACTATCTCCCCTTTATAAATGAGAAAACTGAGAGTTACATAAATAAATTTCCCAAGATTACAAAGATAGGAAGTGCCAAAAGTGGGATAGGAACTTAGGAATTAGGGTTCTAGAATCCCTAAACTTGTTAAGCACTACATTATTCTGTCTCCCATTAAGAAACTACATATCTGAATGAGGTTTCCAATTGACATCATACTTGAAAGTCTGATAAATTTCTTAACTTCAATATTCAAAATTAAGTTTCTGGTCTTCTTCCCATAACCAGCTTTACCCATAGTCTTCTCTTTCATGGTTGATGAACACTTCATTTATATAACTACTCAAGCAAGAAAGACAAGCAAACCAACCCTCAAAATTATCTGTTGTCAAGAGATATGCTGCCCATATACCCCTTCCAAATGAAACTTGCTGTTCAGCTATGGACAGGACTGTTCTCAGGTGTACAGGGCTATCCTCTCACCTTCAGAGCTCACACACTTCCCAGGACAAGGTGACCTATATCCAGTAACTGAAAGAGGCATAAAGTCTTGTCCACTTCTGCTTAATAAGGTACTCTGGAGGGCAATCCTCTCTCAAGAATTCACTGCTGATTGACTCAGCCTTTGTGCATCTGGCTCTTAAGTACACTCTGCTCAGACCTGTCCCTTCCTTCTTCCCTTCCCATATGTGAATTCCTAATAACACCTTGTATCCCAAACTCCATTCTGTGTGTGATTCTGAAGAACCCAGCTAGAAACACCACCCATGACTCCTTTTTTCTCATGTCCCACACCCATCTGTCAAAATTCATTTGACTCTACTCACAAAATTTAGCCTTGATTTCCTCTGACATTGCCAAACTAAAATGTGAAGTGGAATGAGGAGGTACATGAAAGTGTAAGGGTGAAACCTGGATTACTATATAGCCTCCTACATGTTTTTTCAGCTTCTCTGGCTTACTCTTCTTCAGTCGATGCTCTATGTGCAACCAACATAGTCTTTTTAAGTATCTTTATGTTAAAACCTTATAGTGGATTTCCATTTAACTCAGAGAAATAGCCTACAGAGCCCTCCATAACCTATTCCCACTGACTGTCTACCCTAAGCCTCTACACTTGTCCCTTGCTGTTTCCACCCAGGTACCCTGGCTTCTATGCTGTCACTTAAACAAAGAGGACATGTCTTCAACACTTTGCTATAGTTCTCTATATGCCCCATTTCCCAGTCTATATCAAACCTTTGACAATATCAGAGTTTTTCAATGTAACATATAATTTAGTTATTAATGTTTATTTTTTTGTCTATAGGCCCTGGCTAAAATGTAAGCCCTTGTAAAATGTCAGGGATTAGATATATCCCAAGCACATAGAGCAGTTCCAATAATAAATATTTGTAAAGATAATAAATCCTACATTTTGGAAGTTGATCTGTATAAATAAAGTCATCACTTCAATCCAATAAACAATTCAAATTCATTGGCTTCTTTGGCAGAAGTTTAAAGGAATCAGAATCTACTGATAGAATACTTTCCTATTAATTCACTGGAAGACACAAGAAGTTCACAGAGACTGATAACTAGACTTTTATTTTTTCATACTTTAGATTCTAGCAAATGGACCTGAAAGCCCATTTCTCTGTATTTTTGTACAATGACATCAAATCACACTTTACCTCTCTCTCAACATACCTCCAGCTCATCGAGTGCACTTCCCAGGGTTGCTGCTTGTGGTTCCGATGGGGCCGGCATATTCTGGATGCCTTGGGAAGCATTTGAAATTACATTGAGGGCATTCTGAATTTCTTCACAAACTGTATCCTTACTGGCTTTGAGTGAAGCAACATCAGAATGTTCTAAACAAGCTGAGCAAATGGAATGCAAGAGGGGGGAGTTCTCCTTCAGTGTGGCTCGTGCCCCTGCAATTTCATCCCTCTGATTTGGAGATTTTAAGTCCTGAGAAGGGAAATTAAAAAAAAATGTAAAGGTATTTTTTTTTCAATGCATTATGCATAAAAGACTTACACACAGAAGCTTTATCTTTCTGTCAGTATATACAAAAAGATAACAGACACTAAATAGTCAGCCATTAGTTCATTAAAGTTATCAATTATTTCTACATTCCTTCAAATTCTGAAGTGCTATAATACAGAAATGTGACAGTGCACAAGTAAAAGTCACAATGGTGCAGATGTATAAGACTTGAGTAGATCTCAATATGTCAGCCACATCTTCATAAGTCACTAAAATACTCTGGCATTCACATAAATGAATTATAAGGGTGCTAATTCTTCTTTCCATAAATGTTAGATAATTGCATATAATTTTTGTTAAAATTAAGTGAGTTAAAAACACTAAATAAAACATCTTACCATTCAGCTACTTTTCTGCTGTTTTTCAGAAATACTAACAAGTTTATCCTGAATCCTTCTTTCTTTGATATTCAAGATAGTTTCTGAGCATTTAATATATGTTAGCCCTTTTTAGAATCTGAGTTTACAAATGTGAACAATATGAAAGGGTATTGTTCAGATAAGGCTTATGTTCCTGTATGTGGGAAGGAGACCTTTCAATAAACAATAAACTAGGTAAACAAATACACAAGACAATTTCAGGTAATGAAACTACAAAAAATGAAATGTCAAAGAGATTGACTTGAGCGAGGAAAGCTGTTTTAATCCAGCAGTCAACAAAGATATTTATGTGGAGACGACAATTTACAGTAAATCTAAATAAAGAGCCTTACAAACAGAGAATAAAGGCAAAAGAAAGTCCTAGCTAAGTGATAGCTGATCAAAGATACAGTGGAAAAAACCTGACTAGCACTACCTTAATGAAGTGTTAAAAGTTGGCATCTTCAATGACTTCACATGGATATCATGGACTACTTTATACATCTGGCAAAGAAGAGGATATCATTTCTGTGCTTCTCTCTAGAAAACCACAAGCTCAATCCAGTCACGAGAAAAACAAAAAACAAAACCACATAGGACATAGGGGAATATCCTACATGATACAGGTGCAGTATTCCTTAAAACCATCGAGATTACGAAAAACAAGGAGACTGATAGACTATTATAGACTAAAAGACACTTCTCAAAGGATATGACAAATAAATTCAAGGTGCTACTCTGGACTACATCCTAAACCAGAAATAAGACTTTCATGAAAATCTGGGAAAATTTAAATATAATCTATTAATAATTGACAGTAATATATCGATATGTATTTTTGTAACAAACGTTAAGAAAGGTAGATAGGAACTGTCTGTACTAGCTATGTAACGTTTCTGTAAATCTAAAATTATTGTCAAATTTTTTATTTAAATAAAGCTAGTTTAAGGGACATTTACAGTAGTTTATGCAATGCATAGGTAACATCTTATATAATCTTCATAAAAACTCAGGATAAAAGTGATTCTTATTTCATTTTAAAGATGAGAAAACTGAGGTTTCAAGAGACTAATTTCTTTAACCAAGTGGCAGAGTTATATGGTGACATTTATTGTATCAGTGTGACTCCCTATCCCTGATCTTGTCAACTGTACTATATTCTTTCCTGTGTGGAACAATTTCCTTACTTGCTATATAAGAATGATGACTTGATTCTATTTCGTTTAACTTATAAAATGCTTGTACACATTATCTTATTGACTCCATGACACCCCTTGAGAAAGTTAGGCTAACATTATTAGCCCTGTTTTAACTAAGTTGGTATTTAGTGAAAATAGACTGGTAAAAGAATTTAGATCTTTTAAGTAAGTCTTTTGATTGCAATTCCATATACCCCTATGCTTTTTTTCACAAGATTCTGCCACCTCGGGATAATGCTGCCTGAGGTTAATAAATGGCTTTTGCTACTATATTTTTAGTTCTTTCTCTTTTGGAAATAAAGGCTGTCTGCTACTTTAGGCAGGCTTTGGGGAGATTAACCTCTTTACAAGATGTAGGGAGGACAGTTAGAAGTAGCTGTCAACTCACTGTTCATACTCACTAATTATCCAAGAAAAGCCATTTTGTGATTTTCTTGTCTTGTTAAAATTTCCCCCCTTATTTTTGGTCTGGATTCTAGTTTCAGCCCCATTATTAGGGCTATGAGCAGGGTAAGTCATCCATACTTCAGATGTCTGCTCTTTCATTTGTAAAAATGGAAAAAATGACACTTCTGCCAACTCTTTCACAAGACTTAGGATACAGCACATCAGAAATGGAATATATATAGAAAACAGTAAATAATTACAGAGTATGGAATTATTTAATTCCTCAATTTATCAAATTTACCATATGTTTTTGTTCTGTGATGATCTTGGTGATTTTTATATCTCCCTCAATTTTATAGCACCACTTACATTCATACCATTGTGACATAGAGGATAAAGAGTTTAATGTTTACAAAGGATGCATAGCTTTTCAAAGGAATAACAACAAAGAATTGAGGAAGATTCTCTGTATTTATAATATAATATATTATTTCCTCTGAAGTAATTTACACATTTATACTTCTTTATTTAGATTGGCAGTATCAGAATTTAGGTAAGTAAAGGGTGAAAAAAGGTGAATGCAAATTATTACAAAGAAGGTTAAGGTTAAAAATTATTTTCTTTGCTCTGACAGTGGCTATGCATATTTACTATAAGTTGCAGTAACTTTAATACTATAGAGACTTTGGAATTTAAAAAGTATAAATATATTCTGGCTTTTGACCTCATACTTTGCCATCTCTGCCCAAGCAACTGTAGAATCCTTAATGAGCACTAATACCCCAAAGAGCAAGCCTATGAAGCCTTCAAGAAAGGACAGGATCCATGAACATAGCAGTAATATACTATGACAGTGGATAGAGGAAAGAAAGGAAAGGTGAATAGTTTAGGTAAGAGAAATTAAGGTGAGAACATTTCTCCCAAAGGATATCAAACATAACAAATTTAAAGTAGTAAACAGTCAGATAAAAGGAAAACTAATAACTATCATTCTCCTAAACAAAAGGTTGTTGTGGTAATGTTTGTGGTTGTTTTAACTGATGTTACCAGGGATTCAAAGGTTCATAGGTTGTCTATATTCTAAGATTGTAAACGAAATCAAAATAAGAATTAAACAACAAGACCAATTAGGGAATTCACTGGATGTAGAAGTATACAGAATCTAATTCCTCCAGGACTGACACTCTTTTGATATCTTTTTTTTTTTAAGTGCTCCAGAAGAAAAAGCTCACATGAGATTTCCAAGTGAAGGAGACATTAATGCTTCCAGCTGATGAAGAAGCTCACAGATGGGATTAAAAAAACAAGACCTTAAAAATCTGTGCAATTGGGTAGAGAAGTAACATATTAGTTTTAACCCTGGCAAGAGAACAAATATATTTAGGGATTTTAAAGATTACATAACATAAAAAAGGAGGGCTCTCAGTTATAAGCTAATTCAACCATTCATTCAACAAATGCTTCAGAAAATGCATTATGTGTTGAGAATGCAAAGATAAAGAACTCATAGAGAATAAGGGGAGACAAATAAATTCATATGAAAATTAAAATAAAGTTATAAAATAGAGGGGATTTTAATCCCCAATCTTGAGGGAGTTAAAGAAAATTTATCAAAAGAATCTTTTTCCAGTTTTTCAAGGTTCAACTGATAAATAAAATTGCATATATTTAAAGTGCACAACATGATGCTTTGATATACAGTGTAAAATGGTTAACACAGTCAAGTTAATCAATACATCCATCAATATAGAGTTATCGTGTGGGCATTGTAAAGACATTTAAGATCTGTTCCTTGTAAATATCAAGTAAGCAATACAATATTATTAGGCATCATCACCATGCTGTAATTAGATATCCAGAATTTACTCATCTTAAAACTATAAGTTTATATCCTTTGACCAATATCGCCCCATTTTCCCCCCATTCCCTACCACTGCATTCACCATAATATTCTGTTTCTAGGAGTTAAACTCTTAAATTTCTTTGAAGTGAGATCACAATGTCTTTCTATGTCTACGTGATTTCACTTAGCATAATGTCCTCCAGGTTAATCCAAGTTGTTGTAAATGGCAGGATTTCAGAGAAAGTGAAACTTAGAGAATTAGAACTTATCCCTGTGAATAATGCAGAACAATCAATCAATCAATCAATCAATAGCATGTGCAAACGCCTGAAGCATGAAAGGAGCATGCAGCCACTACAGGTGTTACTACAAGTACAGAAAACCTGAGCAGGAATTCTGATAAATCCAGCTGGAAAGTTAGGCAGGAGGTATTTCACATACGATGCTAAGAACACTAAAAGCAACAAGTTTAAATACGTATTTTCAAAAAATTTCCCTGGTGAAAGCCTTTTGAATTCATTAACAATTATGACATTGTAATCAGGGAGACCAAGGATAATGTGTGCCTGAACACTGTATCCAGGTAATATTGAGCAAGTAAAAATTTTAAGACTGGGATACTTAGATGGGAGGGAGAAGAGATGGTATTTACAAGTATTTAGAAAATGGTTTCACCAATTGTATAGAGAGTGATGCAGACACCAACATGGGAATAAAGAAAAAAGAATATGTTTGGAAGACAAAGGTTAAGCACATTTTGTCACCTACCAAATTTCAAATGCCACCATAAGATCTAAAATGAAAGCACACTCTAGAATTCAGAGAAGAATCTAGCCTAGAATAAACATATATGAATTATTAGCTCCCATTTGGGAGCCAAAGCTAAGTAGGAAGGTTACAGGTCCTTCTTCCCAGATGAGTGTTACAAGGAGAGGAACCTAGAAGTCATAAATTGTTATTCAAAGATGTCACCATAATAATTTTATGTGCTAACCCCAAAGGCCAAATATTGCATATACTTAAATTACCAAAAAGGGCATCAGAAAGTACTGAATATTTTTTTTAAAAAAATTAAGTTTGAAAATGTTTTTTAAAAATGCACACCAGAGTTTAGAACCTGTATTATTATGGATA